AAGACTAACCAGTCCATGGGGTGTACTACACATACTGTCATTCTCTAAAGAGACTGACAAGGAGGCTGCTGAGATAGGAATCGCCAGGAATACTCTGCTTTACTAGAATGAGATTTCCTAAAATGATATACTGAACACAAGGGTTACTATATATTTGGTAGCAAATGTCATTCATCATGGTGGACTATCTGGCCTCAGTTAACATTTAGGAAAATCAACACAAAGTGTGCACAGCTTTATGTGTGGGACAGGCTCCCTGAATGCTTATTAGAACATGTGAATTTTGTGTGTACACACATTACCTTTCCTTGAGGTGAAATTTACATAACATAAAATTAACTGTGTTAAAGTGTTAATGGCTTCACAATGTTGTGCAACTAGCACTTCTCTTTAGTTCAAACACATTTCATCATGCTAAAGGAAATCCTGTAACCGTTATTCAGTTCCTCCCTATAAACCCCCTCTCCCATCCCCTCACAACCAATCTGCTTTCTCTGTCTCTTTCTGGATTTACCTATTCTGGATATTTCATATAAATGAAATCATACAGTATGTGGCTTTTTTTGTTTGGTGTCTTTCATTTATAATGTTTCAAGATCCATCTATGTTGTAGAATATGCCAGTACTTTATTCCTTTTTATGGCTGAATCTTCTGTCCTGGCATTGTAGTCACTTTGGGTTAAATAAAATCTTATAAAAATTTTTACTGGCTTGGACATTTCTTAGGTTGACATTTACATATGATCAACATGACTTCTCTCTGTTACTGTTGACCTTAATTACTGGCTGACGTAGTACTTGTCCTGTTTCTTACTATAAAGTTAGTTTCAAAAAAATCATATTTTAACTCCCATTTCATAATGCCTTGGAGGCAAAGCTGGGGTATATACTGTTTACTAATGATGGTACCTAAGGGAGTCCAAAGCAAGAGAATGTGTGACTTCCAGGAAGAACATACAACACAAATTTCTGAGTAGTCTTTGAAGTCATTAATTTTTCATGTTCATTTCTGTATTTCCGAAAGTATAGAGTTGGGATTTCTTAGGCCTTAAATATAACTGTGTAGTGAGAAGAGCATTATTCTGGTCATTAGAAGACCCAGCATCACCTTTTAGTAATGTCCAGTGGATATAATAAGACCTATTGTTGCAAGGGTTAAATAACATAATAGATAAGAGGTATTATTCGATTAGCAGAACTTTAGTGCCTGTTGTGGCACATCACCCTGCAATGCCAAAAATGTCATTTGCAAGAAAGAAAATAAAGTTCCTGTCCTAAAATAGCTAATAACAAGACTTGCCCTAGATGATATGTTGGCCTTAGATTATGCCATTTTGAGGATAGGAGATAAGTTGGAGTATGTGTATACACTGTTCGTATGAGGATGCTGCAGTTAGTTGTTAAGTATGCCAGAGATATGCCATGGTCTTCAGGGCAACTGTGATTGTATTGTCATGAACTGTGGCATCTTCAGGGTACATGATGTCTTAAAAGATTTCCACAGTATACCTTTAATTTTCCCAAGTAAGCTGTAAAGGTTTGATGTTGAATGAAAATCTCTGAAATTATGAGATTACTACAGAGTTAACAGGCTTTAACTTTTACTTATATAGTATGTGTTTGAATTAGAATCTTTCCTGTGTGTAATTTCTACATGATTTTTCCCTTCAGGTTGTTTTCGGTTTTTTGTTTGTTTTTTAATTTTAAAATATCTTCCTTTCCCTTTTCCACAAGAGATGTGTATTGGTGTAAGGCTTTTCCTGTCATCCAATTCATTCAAAACAGTTTAGCCACTTTTATTTGGTCTTGAAGGAAAACCATACTGAATCTGTTCAAAATCCGAATCATTTGAATTATGTTTTTTGTTTTTTTTTTTTAATTTCAGGTACATACATTAGCTCAAAGTGTAAAAGAATATTGCCAAGGATGATAGACTTCACACTGATCATCTTCTGAATTTTAACAAGAGTTAGTTTTTCTTTCTATAGCTATCTTTTTCATAATTTAATTTTGTAAATATATTGGTTCACATTATACAAAAAGAAGATAAACAAATGTGTTATTTTCCCGTAATTACCTGGGAAGCAATTTATTACTCTATACAAGCCCTTATTTCAAAAAAAAAATCCACATATATTGTTTTGTATAATTATTAGAATTCTTTTAGGTAGGGTCCCTGTACATTGAGATGAGAACTAAACAACGGACTTTAAAAGTAAAACGGTTATTATGTAATTGCATTGGTCTTCAGTTTCATTCATGAGGACTTATAACTTAGGAGCCATATCAGTGTCAAAAATGGAATACTATGCTGTCATTTAAAAATAAGGAATGTGAAAGCTCTTTCAGCATTAATTTGCAATGATCTTCAGGATGTACTGTTAAAAAAAATGAACAAAGTCTAAAACAGTATACAAAATATACTACCATTTGTTTAAAACTAAGGTTGGGAGGAAACATGCCCTTAAATGCTTTATATGCATGAACTATCTCTGAATGAATACACAAGAAGCTGGTAACTTTAGTTGTTCGATGAGAGAAGACTAGGTGGTTGGGAAAGAGGGAGAAGTTTGATTTTTTTTTTTTTTTTTTACAGTAGAAAAGAAAGTTTTATTAGAAGGGAAAGTACACTTCCAGAAGCGGGCCTGAGCAAGAGAAGCTTGGCTCAAAAGGCCAAGAAGTTTGATTTTGAACCATGTGAATATATTACCTATTTTTAAAATACCTTTTGTAATAAATTACCTAAAACAGAAGTGAAGGCCATATTTAAGTTATGTTAATGATTTAACCTAACTTTCAATTATTTTTAGTCATGGGGTCAGCTTCAAGTGGTCTAAGATACTGTGGGTTCTGTTCCAGACCCCTGCAATGAAGAGAGTAGCTTAATAAAGCAAGTCCTAATCTTTTTGCTGGTGGAGGGCCTTGCCTTCAATTTGTAAAAAGTGCAACACCTGTGAAATACGATAAAGTGAAGCACAATAAAATGAGATACATCTTGTGTTCAGCTTTGTTTCGGTTAATTTGGTTTTTGGTTTAAATGTCTTTTAATAAAAATGTTACAGAATCTTGGAATCTTAGAGTTGGACTGGCCCTTAAATAGCATTGCAAATTATTGATTTGCTGATTTAGTCCCAGCTGCAGCAGGTTCAACTTCTTTGATGGCAGGCATACCGCTCTGCCCCAGCCCATTTGTATTATGTGCAGTTCTCCAAGAAAGTTCTCTCCTAACTTGAGCCTAAATCAATTTTCCTGGATCTTCGAACTCTTGGAACTGATGTTTCCCCTCAGGATGAATAACTGATCTGTTTGCTTTAATGCATGACATCCCTGAATATTCATATTATACACATGATGCATGGTTCTCATCATAATGCTAGTTGTTCTACATTAAAATCTCTGAAGTTGTTGGTGAGCTTCTCTCTCTCTCTCTCTCTCTCTCTCTTTTTTTGGGGGGAGGGGGGAGACACAAATAAAGCTTTACCTCTGTTAAATTTTATATTTTCAGATTCAACTCATGAATCAGTTCATTGTTTTAATCCTGATTCTGTCATCTAAAAGTTGTTATTCCTCCCCACTTTCTTTTTTAAGACTTTATTTTTTGTAGAACAGTTTTAGGTTTGCAACAAAATTGAGGAAGGTACAGAGATTGCCCATATACCTCCTACCCCACACATGCATAGCCACCGCCCCCCGCCCCCATTATCAACATCATTCACTAGAATGGTATATTATTACCAAGGATGAACCAATATTGACACATCATAAACACCCAAAGTCCACAATTTACATTAGGGTTCACTCTTGGTATTGAACATTCTATGCATTTAGACAAAAGTATAATAACATACATCCATCATTATGATACCGTACAGAGTATTTTTGCTACTCTAAAACACCTCTCTGCTCTGCCTATTCATGGCCCCTCCCCTACCCTGACAACCACTGTCCTGTAGCTAGAATTATGCAGTATGTAGCCTTTCAGATCTACTTCTTTCACTTAGTTATATGTATTTAAAGTTCCTCTATGTCTTTTCATGGCTTGATAGCTCATTTCTTTTTGGTGTTGAATAACATCCCACAGTTCATTTATCTGTTTACCTACTGTTTACCTCCTTGCTGATTTTCTGCCAGCTGGATCTATTTATTTCTGAGAAAAGAATGTCAAAGTCTCCAACTATGATATTGGATTTACAGTTCTATCTGTTTTTGTTTCATGTAGTTTGATGCTCTGTTGTTAGACACATACACATTAAGAATCATTACATCTTCTTGGAGAATTGACCCCTTTATCATTATGTACTATCCTTCTTTATCTCTGAAAACATCCCTTACTTTGAAATCTGCTCTCTCTGAAATTAAAATAGGCTTTTCCCACTTTCTTTTGATTAGTGTTAGCATTGTATTTTATGGTATTATATTACCATAATGTCATAACCATGTTATTAGGTTAGCATGGTACAGTATTCCACCCCGATCCACAGAAGACACATCCACAAGATCCCCAGTGGATGCTGGAAGTACCAAACTATATCTATCTATCTATCTATCTATCTATCTATCTATCTATCTATCTATCTATGTATCTATCTATCTATCTATCTATCTATCTATCTATCTATCTATCCATCTATCTATCAGATCTACCTATGTTTTCTATTCATGTCTTGCACCCACAAATTTAATGCCTTTACCACCTTAGCTAATCATGCAGTGTGGCTGTTTCTATTGCAGTTTGAGGTATGAAGGCAAAACTAAGACAAATTTTTTTTTTCTTTAAAATTTCACAGCTAGAAGATTCATTCTTACGTAGATCTTAGCAATCTCAACATATCTTTTTTTCTTATTTAGCTGAGAACTTTCACCTTTTCACATAAAGGAAACACTTAACAGCTTCTCTTTGGCATCAAATTGCCATCATCACTATTCTTGTGCTTTGAGCTATTACTAAGTAAAATAAAGATTACTTGAACATACTCATGTTGATACTGTGTGTAACACAGGAGCCTCAAGCCTGGAACTTCCACCTAGGTTTGGATATTCCAGAAGAACCACCAGGAAGACCAAAGTGGTAAGAAATATTGTTTATTACTCACAAGGGAGGGAAGCTTCAGCAGCAACCAGTCAGAGCTTCAGGAAGAAAAACTACTGCTGACCAAGTGCAAGCAGTTTTTTATGCCCACAAGCAGAGGAAGAGGTTATCTCATTGAGGGAACAACTGCCTTCTCAGACCGATGGGAGCAAGATGTGCAGCTTGGTTATAAGAGCAGATAATGTCCATGGGAGCTGCAGAAAATGTCCTTGGGAGTAGGCATTGCTGAAAGCTCTTTGTGTACTGCCTTCTCCGGCTGCTGGCTGGGCAGCCACCAGTCTTCTGAGTATGTGGAGGGGCTGTGTTCTGAGTTAACCCTACACTCCACCCTAACATAGCTCCTCCGCCTCACATTCTTCACATCAATTCTTTTGGACAGGGAGTCCCTTGGGTGGTTAGAGCATTCATGAATTGTATCCATATATCACAAATACAATAAAGACTACATCCTAATACTAACAGTACACATAAGCCAAGCAATCTTGATACCAGGTAACAGCCCCAAGAGCTCAAGGAGGTCCACCAAGTGGTTAAGGGGTTTGCTCCAAGTGATGCAACACGTCAGGCTACAATTCCTGTTACAACTCTCCGACTCTTTTTTTTTTTTTTATGCCTACACCTGGTATTCCTAGGTGGTCTCCCAAGTCCCAATCACTTGATTATTCCTCCGTCTTGAGGAAAGAGAGGTGATGACCACTCTGGCTGCTTTCTGCTAAAAAGAGACAGAGTTTGGGGGTTAGAGGAATGAAACCTACATTCAATCAAATGTTTTGTTAGTTTTGGTTTACTATGAATACAAAGTAGCCTTCTGCATGATTCTATTTATTTCAGTCTCACCTTCCCCAGAGGTGTTACTGTAGGTTTAGCAGGTTATATTAACCATTGTATTGATGCCTCCTATGTGTATGGAAACAAGGTTAATAATCAGAGCAAATTATAAGCCAGCTTCTGAATTTGGAAGGTTGTCAGTAAAGATTTCTAGATGTAAGGCTGGAAGCATCTCCCACAACTTAAAATGTCGCTGATGACATCGACATCCTTAGACACCATGGTGTGGCCCATACAGCACCAGTCACTGAGATTGTTCAAACATGAGCTGTTGTGGCAGTCTCTCAAATTTTATATCAAGTTGTCTATCTTTAGCTTGCATGGCTTGGAAAAAGCAATTATAGTTTTCAATAATTTCTAGTTTAAGGATAGGAGAGAAATTATAAATCAGAAACATGTTCGAAAAGCCATAGATAGATATTAGAGGAACCTAGAAGAATTCAGGGCCCAGTCCAATTTACAAGTAGAAAATAAAACCTAAAAGACAATGAATAGTATAAGAATCTACTGTTTACATAGGTATATTTCAATTCTTATTGAAACACATTTTTTTCTTTCCTCTCTAACTTTTCTTTCCTCCATTTTTACCAAAGATTGCCAAATTAAGATTTATTCATTTGTGAAATAAGTTGTTTCAATAACCTTGGTCTGATCATTTGCATAAGCCCAACAAGAATATTAATTAAGCACACAGGCACTTTTAATTCTGCTTTGCAGGAATTTGACAAGGAATCTTCAGATTGAACTTAAAAGGCCTCTCAATGCCAGAAAAGCCAAGGCAAGCACTTGCCCTCAAAGGATGCCTGCAATACCTATAGGTTTTGGGTGAGTTATTCTCTTCTTGAGATCTCCAAAATATCTTGAGGTTCCTGCACCTGCCAAGACGTGACATTCTTTACTCACATAGTAAGGCTGCTGGGAACCATGAGAGTGAGGTTCCAGACCAATATTTCCAAAGGCTTTTATTGGCTTCCATAAATTAATCTTAATTCCTTAAAGTTCTTTGGTCATGCGAGTCTCTGCATTTCTCTCAAATATGACATCCTAATCAAAGGCTTGGTGATAAAAAAAAGAAAAAAAAACTAGTTTCCAATCATGCCCTGTTTTAAACAGAACAGATTCTTATTGAACTTAAGCAAATAATCACATTGACATGAATGTATGAATACTTACTCATTAAAAGTGTTTGGATTCCAGAGGGGTATGTAGGGAGGAAAAGAAACATTCCAAGTCTGCATAATTATTAGCAAAACTTAGTTCTTAGTATTGTGGAGCTTTAATTTCCTTAAGTAGCCAAGTGCCTGAATAAGATAATATAAAACACAAATTTATTCTGATAAAACACAGAATCTTTGTTTTCTTCAGGCAGAAACCTTTTCCATAATATCAGTAGCAAATAGTCTAAGACACTGTCTTATTTAGCAGAGAGAAAAAAAAAACTCTGATTATGTGTTAGCCTGCTTTTGACATTTAAATTCATTTCCAATCTTGTTTAGCTTAACCATGTGTAAAGTTTCCTCTTTCAATATTTCACAGACTTACAACTTTTTTCATCCCTTCAGTTTGCCTCTTCTTACTCATTTAGAAATAACCATCTGTAGGACAAAGTACTTTTTAAAATCTCCTTCAGAATAAATTTCTATACCTTATACCTTCTATTACTAAAAATATATATTGCTCTTTTAATTATAATATGAATTTTTAACTCAGAGACTTCAATTTTTTTTAAAAGATATTGGGGTAACATTGGTTAATACAATTATATAATTTTCAGGTATAGATTGTAATTTGACATCTATATATTCTATTGTGTGATTACCACCTAGAGTCCAGTTTCCTTCAGCTACCATATATTTGATCCTCTTTACCCACTTCACCCTAACCTCAGCCCCGCTATATTAGACCACCTTTACCCTGTCTACCTCTTCCCTCCTCCCCCAGCCCACCTCAGTTTCTAATGGCAGTTAGAAAGTAATCAATTAACATCCTTTAGATTGGGAAATTTATGAATATATTTTGTTACTTCTAGAAGTATTTCATTGGCCCTTGACAGTTCTACAGAAGCTGGGAAAAGGTGGGGGCAGGGTGCAGCTTTCTGTAAGTCTGAGAGTCAGAGGTTAGCATGACATCATCGATATAATGGTACAGTTGTATGGTGTAGTAGGGTTTAGCCCAGCCAGTCAAATTCTTAGTCATAAAACCGTTGCAAATAGTGAGACTATGGAGATACTCCATCAGTAGGACAGTGAAGGTCCATTGTTGTCCTTCCTAGGTAAAGGCAAATTGATCTTTTCTCAGTGAATATTTTGGATGTGTCTTGGTCCCTCAAAAAGTCATCCAGACAAGGAGGTCATGAGTGTCCTCCACTTGTCCATTCCAAGGGGCGGACAGCCGTCTGCCTGTTGAGCAGGGATTAGAATTTCTGTTCTGATTTAAGCTGCTGCCACAGGGCTACCAGTACTGTATTAGGTTGCTTATCAATCATTTTTGGGTCAACCCTGGCCCTTATCAGTTCTGTCCATTGTTGCCTTCTGGTCACCTTTACCAGGCCATCCTTACTTTCCTCCTGCACACCCATCTTTCTCCTGGACCCATCAGGCCCCCTGTTTCTGCCTGGCCAGTTCAATTTCCCCTAAACGGGCAATAACTTGTGCTGCCGCCTGGAGATTATCCTCCCCTCTAGGGTGGACAGGACAGGCACCAAAGTACCATAATAGACCAGTGGGGCCATCTGGATGATGCGGTCCCGCATACCTGTAGTAAATGTCACCACATTCAGGACTCTCAAATGTTTCCATGTAAATAACATGTTGCATTCCCATCTCCCTAAGGAACACCTGCACTTCCGACCTGGACATCCAGCATGGCTGGGCCATTGGCAAATTGCTTTCATTAGGCCAAGCTGCATGGCAACTTGCCATGAGCCAATTCAGCAGAGACGCATTTTCTGCATGTTGGATTTCTTCATGTATGCGCTGGTGCAAAGAAGGGTGGGTGGTGACAGAAGCCATCCTGGTTAATTCATCCCCAGACAGTATTATGCCATCTGCACTGGTGTTGAAGAGGTGGAATAGCCACCCTGTGATGGACTCTGATCCTTTTTGGTGGAACTTGGCGGCCAGCTCTACCAACTCTGCTGATGTATATGGCCAGGCAGAGGTGTGTAGATGTTTAAGGGGAGGAGGCAGATTCCTTGGACTTTGCCCCTCAGAGTGCTCTCATTGAGTCTTTAGTTTCCGAACAATTACTGAGCAGGCCCGAGACACACATGTGGCTTCCTCTGGGAGGGACATCTCTATTTCCTCATCTAACTCAGACTCACTTTCTGCTGTGGGATCCCACTTTCTGGGGTTCCATTCAGACTGTGCAATAACTGCCTGTAATTGTTAGCTTACACTCCCGAACTTTTGCAAAGCGGGAGGCTAGGTCCTGCAGTTGTTCACTAGTCTGTTCTAACTGTCATCCCAGAATATCTTTGCTACTGGCCTGTGAGACTCTCAGGTCTCTTTCTAGCCTTACTTCCTTTTCCACTTTCTTCACCCTTTCCTCAGCCTGCAACTGTTTAGCGGTATCCTCACACAGCACCTAAAGCTCCTCACAGCCCACAGCTCCTTTTTTAAAGAATACAGTTCTCCTATTTTCAGTAAAACCTGTTAGAAGCCCATAGGTTTGTTGGAGGCATCCCCCCATTCCCTTGATAGGCCCTAAGAATCTAAAAGGCTTGTTGCCTCAAACAACATGGACCAGAGGCCCACCTGGGATTGCCCCCGCAGACCACTAAGAGGCATGTTCTCCCCATCACTTGAGGTCGACTCAACTGGAGTCCTTTCCAGAATATCCTGCCAACTATGCCAATTTTAATACAGGAACCCCAGGCCTGGAACTTCCACCTGGGTTTGGATATTCCAGGAAAACCACCAGGAGGACCAGAGGGATGAGAAATGCCATTTATTACTCACAAGGGAAGGAAGCTTCAGCAGCAGCCGGTTAGAGTTTCGGGAAGAAAAACTGCTGCTGACCAATTGCAAGCAGAGTTTTTTTATGCCCACAAGCAGAGGGAGAGGTTATCTCATTTGGGGAGCAGCCACCTCCTCAGATGGATGGGAGCGAGATGTGCTGCTTGGTTACAAAAGCAAATAATGTCCATGGGAGAAGCAGGAAACATCTTTGGGAGTAGGCACTGCTCGAAGCTCTTTGTGTACTGCTTTCCTTGGCTGCTGGCTGGGCAGCTATCAGTCTTTTGGAGGGGCTGTGTTCTGAGTTAACTCTACATTAATGTGACAGTTAATCTGATAGCCAAAATGGCTCCTAGTGACTAATGTGCGGGTTGTGAGCATATACAATGTGGATATGCTGGACAAAGGGATGATTCACATCCTAAGCTTATGAATTGTTTATTTCTGGAATTTAACACTAATGTTTTTGTACTGAGGATGACCATGGGTAACTGAAACTGTAGAAAGCTTAGTCGTGGATAAGAGGAGACTATTGTATTTTTTCTCCATCCTTTTACTATTACTCTATGTGTGTCTTTATATTTAAAATGAGTTTCTTGTAGATAACATATAGTCGAGTCATCTTTTTTGATCCACTCTGGCAGTCTCTGTCTTTTAATTGGTGCATTTAGACCATTGGCATTCAAAATAATTAGCAATAATTAGATTAATATCTTTCACGTTCATTACTGTTTTCTGTTGTTCCCCTTTTCCTTTGTACCTTTTTTGTCCTCCATTCTTTTTCTACTTTTCGTGGTTTTAATTGAGCATTTTATATGACTAGTTTTCTCTCATCATATCACTTGTTCTTTTTTAACTCTTTTTAGTGATTGACCTAGAGTTTGCAATACATATTTGCAACTAATCCAAGTCCACTTTCGGGTAACTCTGACCATTTCACATGTAGCATGAGTACCTTATAATAACAAAATAATTCTAATTCCTTTTTCCTATCCCTTTATCATTACTGTCATTCATTTTACTTATATCTAAATATATATAAGCATATAAATATACATACACATATGTAATATGTACATAATCTAATACATTGTCCCTATTATTATTTTTAACAAATTGTTATCTGTAAGATCAATTAAGAGTTAAAATAAAAGTTTTTATTTTACTTTCACTTGTTCTTTCTTCTGTGCTCTTCTTTTTTTTATACTGATCTGAGTTTCTGACCTGTATTATTTTCCTTCTTTGTAAAGAACTTCTTTTACTATTTCTTGCAAGGCAGTCTTACTGGCAAAAAATTCCCCCAATCTATGTTTGAGAAAGTCTTTATTGCTCCTTCACTTTTGAAGAATAATTTCACTGAGTACAGAATACTAGGTTGGTGGGTTTTTTCTTTCAGCACTTTAAATATTTCACTGTACTCTCTTCTTGTTTACATTGTTTCTGATAAGTCAAATATAATTCATACTCGTGTTCCTTTAGAGGTAAGGTGTTTTTTTCCCCTTTGGCTTCTTTTAGTATTTTTTCCTTATCTTTCATATTCTATAATTTGAAAATGACATGGCCAGGTATTTGTTTTGTTTCTTTGTTTGTTTGTTTTGACTCTTATCCTGTTTTGTGTTCTTTGAGCTTCATGGATCTGTGGTTTGGTGTCTGACATTAATTTGAACGCTGAGTGCTTCAGCTCAATGTGGAGATGGTGATAATGACAGGATACCCTGGTGGATTGTTGCACAGGTAGATGGAAGTACAGGACTGATGTCCCATGGAATGGTGGTGATGACATGTGAATTAGCATCAGCCTTGTATGTCCAAAGCAAAAACCCTTTCATTTAGCAGAATAACTCATTGAATAGCACTTTCGGCCTATAC